AAGCAAATACATTTGCTTATGATTTTGATTTTCTAAATACTCGGAAAAGCACATCACAAAGAACTTTAGCCTTGATGCTTCCTTTCAAAAACCCTAATAATAACAACTTCATGTTTTCCACACAAACAAACCACGTAATTTATTCGAGAAAATTAAAACCAGTAACCTAGTATTTTGTGTAAAGATCCCCCCTCCTTCTTGTGCTTCAAAAACATTAAAAAAAAAAAAAGAAAATTTGCATATGAAAACAAAGCCTTTAAAATGAATTGCTATTCCAGAAACATCAAGCTATGGTCCACAGCCATTTTTGGTTTTGTTCCTTAACTGATAAAAATAGGGCAATTCAGGGCATCTTCAGGGTTGGACAAAAAAGAAAATGTGGTCCTCAGAAGAGCCGTTTGCCCAGGAGAACACAGGCGTTTCCTTGGCGTCATCTTCTACAGTAACTTAATCTATAAATCTCAGCAAGAAATGTTGAAAGCAGCCACATTTCATAAGCTTTGCTGAGTCTGAGACATCTACATAGCAACAGCCTCACGATGGGAAAACACGCAGGCTTTTTATATTGGTAATCATCTGTAACACGAGCAATTAAGTACAGTACTAATGGACTATGGCCAGGAGCCTGGTACTAATATTAAAAACTGACAGAGATGAATAGGTCTAGAAGCAAAACCAGGCTGACAAAGACATTTTTATGAAGTGCTTGGACCTATTTGATTCAAACCAATCAGAGACAAGTTTGGACGAGTAGGGCCCTCAGCGACAGCAGGGCCTTCACAGCCATTGTACAGTCTCCGCCTGTGCCTTAAATAAAAACACCCATTGATTCATTTCCACAGCCCGCACTTTTATTATTGTGCTCATTAATAAACCCAAAGTGCCCAACTAATAATATACAAGTAACATTTAATGAGGAACTGGTGAGGGTTTTTTTTTTCCTTGTAGTAAAACAAAAACATTTACTGGAATCACAAACCACACTGCATAAAAAATACATCAGTAGATAATGTGATGTAGATCACTTGTTCCTCTATCATCTTCTAGAAGAGTGAAGTGGGGGGGGGAGGGGAGTGGGGAAACCACAACTCTCCATGTTAGAAGGCAAAGAGTAAGAAACCATGGGAAAGTGGCTGCGGAGATGGCTCGGCAAACGTGGGGGCCAGAGTTTGAAATCCAGTGCTCACGTAAAACCCAGGGGTAGCAGAGCACTGATGACCCTAACACTGTGGGTCAGCGACAGTCAGATTGTTGGAACTGACTGGCTAGCCAGCTGAGCCAGAGGGATGAAAAGATCCTGTCTCTAAGAATAAGGTAGGGGCCAGTGTGATGGCTCGGCAGGTAAAGGCACGACTTGCCATCAACCCCGATGACCTCGGTTACACTCGCGCGCGCGCGCACACACACACACACACACACACACAGAGTGATCTATATAGACAGACAGATGAGAGAGAGAGAGAGAGAGAGAGAGAGAGAGAGAGAGAGAGAGAGAGGTGAGAAGAAATGACAGAAGTAGAAGTAGAAAGGGTTCCAGTGGTTTTGACTCAACTCTGAAAGGCTGTAGAAATCCACCACAATGTTCTGACCTCTCTCAACTTCCCAGGCTTTCTTCAAAATGGTGGCTCGTCACCAAAGCAGCCAGCCGTTTTCTCTATGGCCAGACATCCAGTGACTAACAAAAATGAATGAACATGACCGTATAGCTTTAGCAAGAGGCCAGCCTCTTCTTCGGTCAAAGCCCCTGAACTAATCTTAGTGTCCTCTGTCCTTCTCTGGGGAGCCAGTTAAAGAGCAGACATTCAAAGCAGTACGTCCCAGCCTCTTTTTAATTAAAATAATTTATTAATTACTAATTGTTCATGACAATTTTTGTATTTGATCGCAAGTCTACAGCAGTCTAGATAGCAAAAGGTTATTACTGAAGAAAGCCACGTGCTTGCAATCAGTGCAGACCAGGAACATGCTACCCTAGGCTGCAGGCTCTGCACCCTCCTGCAGGTGTGGCCAGACACAGCTCAGAACTTCCTGTGGTAGACTCCCCTGTGCCACTGGACTCTGACTTCCAACTCCAATTCCCCCTCCAGTGCTATCTTCCAGATGGGATCCTGGGAACGAGAGTAAGGCAGAAAAGACCTCTCTCCTTGTTTTCCTAGAGGCTGTTGTCACCCATAACCCTTTATTCTAGACTCTCTTTTCTCTCAACAGTACCAGAAGCCCTTGGACATAGTCAGGCTTGAGGTTCCCAGAGCTGCTCCCTGAGATCAAAGAGTAACAGGGCTGTTTGGGTGGCTCCCCCTATCTCCACCTCTTCCAGGCACACTACTGAAACTTGTGGGTGGAGCCATCATGACCTCGCTCTACTCCCATCCCAGGGAACTTGAAACCATCCCCTACAATGAATTCTCCGAAATTCATCAATGAAAACTCAGCGTGACTTTCAGTCTCCTCCCGACAACCCTCCCTTAAACACTGACCCGAGACGTTCTAGAACGGGAAGACTAGGTAATCCGGTGGGAGACCAGACCTTTACAGAATGTCTACACTGCTCCTACGAATTCAGAATGAAAAGAAGTTTAAAACACCCTTTCACAATAGGCTGTAGCAGCGAGGCCTTCCCAAGCTGCCAGCTGACATCGTCTGGAAGTCTTCTACTCTTAGAAATGGCAGATCAATAAAGGCAGTACATTGCCTTCGGAGTTACATTCAACTCTGTGGCTACTCTTGCAAAGCCTCTTGAGTTCAGGCGCGCGTGCGCGCGCGCACACACACAGACACACACACGTTGGAGACCTAGCTTAGCATATAAGAGCACCAGTTGCTCTTCCAGAGGACCTGGGTTCAGTTCCCAGCACCCATATGGTAACTTTTATTACTGTCTATAATGCTAGTTCCAGGGGATCCAACTCCATCTTCTGGTCTCTGCAGGCTCCTTTACACAAATAAGAGGCAAAATTCTCATGCACATCATTGAAGAAAAATGAAACACACACACACAATTTAATACTTCTCTCCCTCCCAATTCTTATCTACTTCTGACCGTGTGATGCCTTGTAAAATTCACTTAATTATGGGGCTCAGTTTTCAAGAAGGTGAGCAGGCTGCAGCTCTGTGGCTCCTTTGGGCAATTTTATTTGTCACTGGGTCCTTTTAAGATTAATGGTTCAGGCGCTGGAACTTTTGAAGCAGAGAAAAGTGTATTTTTATGTTTCTAAAGGCTGTGATTTGATTAGAGGCTCCTAAACCAAAGATAAGTAGGTTATAGGAGCCTCCAGGACTGTGGGCAGAGCCCTTGCCTGGGGAGGCATTGTATTGGGGATCAGCTGTCCAGTACAGTGGGTAACAAGAATGTGTGGGCTTTGGTGTTAAGAACTGAGAGAAATCACAGTCCCATTTATATATATAAACAAAAAAACAGTGCTACCAAGAGTGGTAATTTGAACATCTATTATTGATGTTTAAGAATTCTTCTGGATTCCAACAGGGCCAAGGCAGTCTCTTGGGAATACTCTGGGGGAAATTTTCATGAGGTACTAAACCCAACTCAATTTACTCCTATTATTCTGAAACAAGCATTCTAGCGTTTGTGAGCTGGCCACTTAGTTAAATGAGATACAGATAATCCCAGGCCTGAACGTCAAGGAAACGCGTGTGGAGAGTCACAAAGGATGCTCTGTACCACCCACATGGGCGTCATGGACTTTGGGTAAAGACAGCTGGACTGGGAGAAGAGTCATCAGCAAATTGAATATTATTAGCACTTTAACTTTTGGCCAGAATTTTAATTGCCCTGTTTAGCCAACTCGGTGTAGCTTGACTTCAGTGTATGCAATAGATATGATTAAAACACATGCGAAATCTTCATCTGGCCTCTACATCGCATGTATGGGTGTGTATGGGTACATAAAGACGCCCACATGCACACACACCTGTACGCCCACACGCACGCACACATATGCACGCACTCTCACACACACACTCTCTCTCTTCTCTAGTTGAACTCTCCAGTTCTGGATTTGAAGCCAGGGAGCTTTCTTGGGCAAGATATACCTTTCCTTACTTATGTCCTTTCGTCAGGGTATTTTATGACAGCCATGGGGAAGGAAGGAAAGGACAACAGACCAATAGAGGAAGAATTCCTAGTTGTCCTCTGGCTTTCACCAATGATACGCACGTGTGCACATTTCTTCACGCAGATGGAAGTGTACACACATTACCGAGCCCCTCCCCACCTACAGGGCAGTACCAGCTGTAAGGAAGCTGGTACAACCTGAACATATAATATGGGCTTGAAGCATAGCGCAAACGCCGTTTATGAATTTGCAGCCAGTAGGCACAGTGTCTTTATCACACAGCATCCATGGGGGAGTAGGACAGGACAGGACAGACGGACAGGACAAACGGGACACGACTCCTACCCACAAAGCCTTCTACAAAGGCTCTGCAAATCTTTCTTGGTTACATCATTGGTACTTTTCTGAAACAGGTAGAGATTATTAGAGAACCAAGCCATGCAGACTTCAGCTCGGAATTGCCTTGATTGAAAGAAAGCGTATCTATAAGTGAAAAAAAATCTCACAACAAGGTAAACACACAGACATTCTCTCCGGCGGTGCCGTGGTTGCCGAGGAATGCTTGCTTCTCAGGGCTCCGTCATGGCAACATTTCCCATCTTTGTTTTCCAGAAGGCAAAAGATCTCATGGTAAATGAGACTCCTGAGAACACCCCAGCAATCCACACTCGTTGAGGGGGGGGGGGGGAAGGGCATTGCCAGACAGGTGGCCACGGGACAAACCCTAAGTAAAGGCACTTCTAATTTTAGTCTGGGTAACCAGAGAACATGCTATGGAAAGGAGCCCGCCAGGGCGGGGGAGGGGAAGGGATTTTCTGCCTTCCCAAACGTCTTTTGAGATTTCCCCTATCTTGTCTTTGTCCAGCATCGTCTTCTAATGAACACGGTCTCATTAAGCGAGGATGTTCGCGGGAGAGGGCCTCTTACCTTTCGTAGTGTCTGCGAGTGCAGGTGGCCGCGCTGGTGCTCCCCGGGTTCCCACCCAACTCGTCATAAATATGTTTCCATTGGCGGCGGGCTGTTATCTGGAAAGACGGCAACAAGAGATTCAATCTAGCACCAGGCTCATATATAGGCAACGTTCAGAAGAGAACAGACTGCTCTGGACAGCCATAAACAGAGGCTCCAGTGAGCTTAGGGGATGAGGGGTAAGGGGGGAGAGACAATGGCTTTCAAACAAGATCTCTCATTTAGCAATTTTTTAAAAAGGGGGGGGGCTTCCGACTTTTGGTGCTGTTTGCTTTGCTTTGCTAACTTCATCTAAGGCACACCCCCCACCCCCCAGCTATTCATACAGCTGTTTGCCTTCAAGGTCCCAAACACACACCCTATCCCTTTATGCTATGTGATACGATACAAAATAAAGTCCCAGTTCAGCTGAACCGTATGCTAGTTCAGTGGCTTAAATGGGTCGCCGTTGCTGCCACTGCCTGAAGCTAGTGGAGGCGGAGGGCCAGCCACACTACTTAAAGAAAATATATTTTCGCCAAACATGTTTATGCATCTTCCGATTCTTTGAACCATACAGTGTGCTTCCTGCTTTAAAAAAAACACTAATAAAATGACCATATAGATTAATGAAAGTGATCAAATTGGTAGAAGAATTTATAATCATCTCCGCTTCCTCCCATCACTCAAGCGAATCCTATCGAATCTGTTTTTATTCACACTGAGCTGGAAAATGGGATATTAACCGAATCCCGCGGAAGGGAACATATTCCAGAGGTGAAATGCTCACTGTGTACGCGATCGAGTTGAGTGAGTAGAAACAGAACAAGCAATAGCCTGCTCTCTACAGCATGGTCTTTCTTTAAGTTTTATTCTTAAATTTTACAGTTGTCCATAGATAAAGGTATTGCGAAACAATTTTGGAGACGGGGGAAGGACTCACACAGCTTGCTCACCACACCTACCCTGCCTAGTGTTCCTCTGAAAATAGGACCGGACAAGTTCTGAAGTCCGTGTGGACATTGCTAAACAGGGTTCAGGAAAGACACCTTACTGGGTATGTGGGGGACAGGGTGTTGGGGAGGTGCCACTGTGGTTTAATACAAACAGGGCAGAAGGCTTCTTTTCAGAAATACCACTGTCAACGGAGGTCACAGGGAGGAACTCTTCAGTCTACGATACATGCTGCGTTACTAATCCTAACTGAGGAAGAGGGGGTAATAGTAAAATGGCGCCTTTGCCATGTTTAATAAAAGAAATCCTCCTTTTTCTTTAAACCCCGCTATAGGCCAAGTAAGGCCCCCAGACAACGTGAAGTCTTACACTGCTCAATCTCTCAGGAAGTCATCTTAATCATCTGACTTCAATATACAGGGCCACCAACTACACAGCAGCAGGGACAACGATGTAAAACCCTTCTGTGTGTAGCTCGGTTCACAGTCAAATTCCTCTCCCGACACTGCAAACACAGTATTATTATATGTCTAATCACAATCTCCATCCAGTGTGGAAACGATACAATCTTGAGCTGATCTATTCTGAGGCTGTCAATCCCCACCCACCCCTACCCCCAAAGGGCAAAATTCCTCTCCTCAAAAGCGCCTGGTACCGGGGCCCTCATTTGGATGACGAGAGGGCACAGGACACAGGACCACAGCAACGACCTTCCCGTGTCCCTGTCATCACACCAGCGGCAGTTCCCACTCTGGTCACCTGCACCAACTGCCTCTTACATTTTATAGTCAACAATTTGCACCTCTACTGAACCCTTGCGATGCCTTAGGAGACAGGCTTTGGGATCTCAATCATAGGGAAAGGGACTGAGATTCAAGATGGAGGCGCCACTTGTCTAGAGACCCGCGGCACAAGGAGGAGTAAACCCAGATCCATACAGTCGCCTTCTGGTGTTAAGAGTCAATGTCTTTGTACTGTTATCAAAGCTACTGCCTGTCAGGATGATCTGAGAGACAACCCATGCTGGGGATGAAGGATGTTCCTGGGTCCTCAGCCTTTGGGTTTGGGGCAGCAACAATCTAAAGGTGTTACAAACAGTTCTTTCTGATTTTCTCTCGCATACTAAAGTTAAATGGTTCCATCTGGGTTGACCCTTTGTCTCTCTAGGTAGAATGGAGGGGCTATGTTGCTGTTCTCACTGCTGAGTCATTTGGGGAGGGGGCTGTTATTTCCCAAGGAACTCATTTAAGATGCTGGGGATTCAGGACGTGGCCATCTACCTACACCATATCCTATTTTAGGACAGCACTGGGTAGAAAGAGTGATGGAGGCAGAACGGGGGAAGAGGGTAGAAGGCAGAGAAGATCCAGGGGTGGATAAGGCATTGAAGCGTTCTAACTTAATGGGTAGCATGAGTCCAGACACCACAAAGGATAGTCAGGAGGAGACTACACCCCAGTGCAAGAAGCAATCTGGATACACACGACAACCTCACGCGGGGGACGGCTGAGAACCACTTCTTTCTCTAGTGTAGGTACAGTGGTACAGCTGTAAGAACTCGGAAAAGGACACCACCACACCCGTTCAATTCAGCAGGCATTCATGGCTTTCACATGTGGGTTTCCAAGGTGATCTCTGGAGCCCAGGTGCTATTTTGGAGGTATATAAAAAAGAGTTCTCCGTGTGGTCATTTGTCTGAGAAAACAGGGCTAATGAGTGCAAGAAAACTGATCCCTTCCTCAGCTGTATTGATAAAACTCCTGTTGTTTCAAAAATGTTTGGGGAGGGATTATAGAGACATAGCTCAGCCAGTAAAATACTTGTTCATAAGCATGAGGACCCAAGTTTCTTCTCTAGAACGTTCACGGACAAAGCCATGGGTGGGGTATTTCATGCCTGTAACTCCGTGACTGGCAAGGTGGAGATGGGTGGATCTGGGGGTTGGGAAGTTCACTGGCCAGCCAGTCTAACCTACTTGGTAATACCAAGGCCAATGAGAGACAATGTCTCAAAAACAAAACAACAGCCACAAGACTCCCCCACTCACTCCCCTCCCGCAAAAAAATAAAATAAAAAAACAGTGACAGCCTATGATCTGGACACGATGTGACCATTGCATTCACCCAAGAATGAATTCATACAACAGCTCTGGTTCCTGCACAAGGCCCACAGGACGAAGCCAACACGCTCAATCGGCATTCCAGCAGGCATTTATCGGACACAGCGAGTAACAAAACAAAAGCCACTACCAACAAAACAAAGAAATCAAAAAACAAAATAAAACACACCCACACAAAGACATGAAGTAGGAGGAGAGACATGATGGGATGCACCCGCAGAAAGTGGAAGTGGGGAGCTGGGAGTGGATCCACCAAGAATATTATTCATATGCCTTAGATTGTGAAACAGTAAATCAAAGATATTCTCATTGTAAAAAGGTAGAGGGCATCTGAGGAAATACAGCTAAGGTGTTTTACATACACACACACACACACACACACACAGGAATGTACTTACACAATTACACACATATATACATACACACACAGACACAGAGAAAAGTACAATTACACATGCAAACACTTGTAGTTCCACAATTACACATACACACACACACACACAGAGAAATGTACTCACAAATCACACACAGACAAACACACATGTACTCACACAATTACACACCCACCCACAACCACATCCCTACCCCCCACACACACACCAGTTTTGGGACAGTCACTTTTTAAAGCACAAGTCCTGTAGCCTTTCATTTCTCTACCTTTTTGGTCACAGGGATGACATCATGCTGGCACTTGGGACTCTAGTGAAGATGACAGAATCAGAGCTTTTTTTGGATGTGAGTTTTCCCAGGGGACTAAGCCTGGGAAGTCAGCACAAAGTCAAGGAATGCATGGGCTTGCACCTAGCCTTGCTCAGGCTGCCTGAGAAGCAGAGTTTTGTGTGGACACCTTGAGGGCGGGCTGAAATCAAGAAGGATGACTTTTTTATTCCTGGTAGTACTCCAGGAACTGAAGCCATTCAAAACGACATGACATCATCCTTGGGCTGGACAGTTCAGAAGGAAAGCCGAAGGCTGTGTATGTCAAGAATGCTAAGCATAGAGTCAGAGGATGTCTTCAAATGGATGTCAGAGCCAGAATCTGATGTCAAAGCATAATCCGGCAGGAAGACCAGGGACTTCTCCCAGATGAAAACATCATGCAGCTGCCTTATTGGTGGGGCTGGGGAGCACTAATTTGATGGTACCTCCTCCTGTTCTGGGGTAACATTCCCTCAACATGCACTGTGCTTATACTACTGTCTCTCAGAATACTGCTCTGGGTTTTCTGTCAGGTGGTCAGCCGTGGTGAAATCATCTTAACAGACTCTAGCCGATGTCCTGCCTCATATTTCAAATACTTCTCTAGTGGTAACTGTTTGCCCAGACACACAGGAAGGGACCAAGCTTTATTCTTTTCTGCCTCTTATGGGGAGCTCTACGTTCTAATATATGTGGGAGGAGAGAAGTAGGCAGAAGTCTGCGAAGAGTGTAGCATTACTAGCAACCAATCAAAACACTCTGGATGCAGTGTTTTAAGGAATCAGATCTGTTAGATACATTTAAGATGCTAAATATAGATACAGTTATGATCTCTGCACCTGAAAGTGGAGAGACACTAGATCTACTTCCAGCAGAGGCAGGAGAGCCTGAGAGAAGTGTGCACTCTTCAGTCAGTGCTACAGGCTCCAAATGAAACAAACCCCTGCTCCACTTAAAAAAAAAAATCAACTGGAGGATTGTGAAAAGCCGAAGTGAAATAATCCATAATCCAAAATCCAAGCCAGAAGTTTTGGAATCGTTTGCAGCCACGAATGAGAGCAAGCCAAGTAAGACGGCCTTGTTCCCAGCCAGTGAGATCCAGAGCGCTGGCTTCAGCCAGGCACATAGTAACACATCCCCAAACTTTATGCTTGGGGTGTCCTGGTCCTGAGTATTTGCATTACCGAGATTTTTTTTTTAACCTTTCTCCTGAATTCTTACATTTTTTCCCCTCAAGAACCAGACATACTCTCAGGTAGTAACTGGTTTGTTGCTAGGAAACATCAGTATTTGGACATGTATATATGGAGTAATAACTTGACGGGGCCTGGGAATGTATCTCAGTGATACAGTACTTGCCTGCATTCTTGAGCCATGACTCCAGGCAAACAAGAAACTAGCTCAAAGACCAATTTCTAATCTTTGATATTTGAGTTTGATTGAGGACACAGTTGAAGCCAAATGCCACTAGGAGCAGTACTGGACCAGGTGTGGGCGGGAAGATGATGTCAACAAAAGCGAGGTCATTAGATAATTCTTTTCACACCAAATCACTCCTAATATAAAGCGAACCTTCTAGATATACGAGCAACTGCTAGGATTGGAAGACACAAGAGACAGCAGTTTATAATTCCCTTTCCTCCTACCTATACTAGGTGGAGACAGAGCTAACTGTCCTGGGGATGGCCAGCAAGCCGGAATCTGAAAAATACGATTATGGGGATAGCCAGCAAACTAGACTCTGAAGGCCACCATGATGGTCTCCTAAGACTCCTTTTTCCTTCCAACATAAACTGGAGCAGAGCAAGGAAGGATCCTTTTCCATGCAGAGGTCAAGTCAGGAAAAAAATTAATCTGTCAAGGCACTACGATTTCCTTTACTCAAAATGGAAATGGCTCTAAGCTGCATTTGAAATGTATCAGCACTTTCCCCAGAATGAAAAGAAAATACTCATCAGAAATGCCGTGCCTGACCTCTCCCCAGACGAGTTTATCCTACCTCCGGATTGAAATGCTCTCCCTAAGGAAAGCTGTGATCATTTGTAGGTGGACCCAAAGCATCACCCACATCTCCAAATCATCTTATAACATCCCTAATCTAACACACCTATCTGCAGATCATCTCAGCACTTTTGAGCCATGAAGGCTCCTTCCCTTCTTTCTGCAGGGCATAGCTCTTTGTTTCTACAGGGCAATGGTTTTTTGACTTTTCACTCGTAATTTGGTGGCTGACAGTCTTGAAAGTAAGTACTTTAAGGATCCGAACGGCTAGCTTAGATCTTTCCTTCCTCCCGTGCTGTCTAATATATGTCTCATATATATATACACATACATACACATATATATGTGTATGTATGTGTATATATGTATACACATATATATGTATATATACCAGTAAATACAATATATAAATATACATATCAGTAAATATAATATATTATATATGCACACACATATATATGTATATATACCAGTAAGTATAATATATAAATATATACACCAGTAAATATAATATATAAATATACACCAGTAAATATAATATATGATATATATTATATATACACTCACATACACACACACCAGTAAATAAACAGTCAGGTGATTTGCAGATTTATGGTCATTCATCCATTCAATAAAAGAACAAATTTTATTCCCCCAAGAGTACTGCAAATGCCCTCCAATTTATTGGAAGTTTCTTCTGCATGTTCTACACCAACTTGGTGTCTTGTAAAGACACAAAAGATATGAAAACCAGAAGCACTAGTTCTGTGAAACCTGCTCATGGCATGAAGCCCCGGAGTTTGAAAACGATATTTCATAACCCTGAGCAAATATCATGTAACCAACCGCGGTCACAGTTCATAAAAGCGCGGCCTCGCAGTCCTCACGCTGAAAGATCAGCTTACAAACCAGCTTCAGAAGGTGACTCCTGAGCTGATGGGACTAGGTTTCCATCTTTTCGCACAGGGGGGTGCTATAATTAGCTCAAGAGCCTGCAGAAGCCCGAGCTAGCTGTAACTGTGGCAAGGAGTCCGTCTCCTAATCCATCAGCAGATTTAGCCAAGAGTATTTCTTTTCGCACAGGCTACTTGTATAAAAACCAATCTCTCAAGTAAATTTGCATCTGTGAGATGAATATTTTACGTGTGTGCACGTGCTAGGTTTCTTTATAAACGTATGGGCTCCCGTCCATTAGGCAGTTTGTCAGTCCACACACCCACAGCACTTTTTAGGCAGAATTCCTAGCAGATATCTCTACGGGTAAATACCAGGGTTTCTGACTCAAATAACACTTCCTGTGTTTTCCTGTGCCCTGACTCTGACATCAACCCATTCTCTCAGTTTGAGAAACACTATGCGTTCCAGGGCAAGAGCCACTGGTTTAGGAGTTCGGGGTAAGGGAAATATCATTTTCTTGACTTGGTGGCCGTTGCTGTCATTTCACTGCAGTACAGAGGTCTCTCGGATTACTCCTTAAGGGAAGAGAACAAATAATTTCCCACTCCATTGCCAAAGGAACTATACGACTTAATCTGATCATCGTGTGGGAGAGAAAACATTTTTCAGTGACGCCATCTTCCTCTGTCAATTAATTTTATTGCAGATGTCGTCTCTCTGTGCTACGTTAATGCAGATTTTTTTTTATTTTGTTTTCCCATTTCAAGATCTTAATCTCCGTTTGTCTCTCTAACATTTTATTGGCTCAGAAATGCACGCTGTAAAAATCCATGGCCATCAAATTTTCCCGTGGGCTAAAAATAACTCACTCCTGTCAGTTAGAATTAGCTGATAAAGAACGTCAGAGCCCGTTCTGAATAAATTTGATAACTTCCTGTTGATGTAGCAGTGACCCTTGTCTAATAAAGCCTCTTTGCCCTACAATGAGAGAAGGCCCTGCTGTATTCTATTCCTTAATGGCCAATCCTGATTACTTCTGAAAGCCTTTAATACATTTCCCATATTAGACATGAACAGATGTCAGGTAGGTTGCCAAGGGAGATTTCTTTCATGCAATCTTGGCTTGTTGTACAATAATAGCCCTTTCTCAACATGGGAAAAAATTACAGACCCAACTAATTTCCCTGACAGGGGAGAGTTACATATGTTTTCCACTTGTAGTTTTTTTACGACAAGTTTACGGTTTTGCCAAACCTGGAACTAATTGGGACCATTTCCAAAACTGGCCCAATAAACGCCCCCCTTCACCCCCCCCCCCCAAAGTGGAAGAGCCATTGGGAAAGGCAGCCAATGAGGGCTTGCTTTTGAGTTTCCTCCATTTTGGCCAGAGACAGGACAGGGAGAGGGGAGTCAGATTGTGAAATCATTTCGTTTAAGTTGCTTAAACACTTACTGTTTCATATCCTCCCAGTTTTTGAGCAGCTTGAAACATAGTCCAAAGGTTAACTGTTAGAGGGACAATAAGTATTTAGATAAGCATTGCATTAACACATTGCCAAGAAATGTCAATTCAAACATTTTGTTTTGTTTTTTTTTCAACGAGAAAGAGAAAGAAAACAAACAAACAAACAAAAAAAAAAATCAACTGTACCCCAGAGACCTAATTCCTAGGAAACAACTCCACCGAAGGGCATTCAACATTATAGGATCTACTATATTTAATACTTGGAAATATTTCTCGAGGATGGTTACAAGACTACAGAGACAATTGAACTTTAAGGACAAACAGCATAATGTTGTTTGTACCATCATCACCCACCAGGGGAGAGAACACACTGGAAGGACCTTGGGGAAGTGTGTGGGAATTCAGGACGGGGTGGGTCTTGTTCCAGTCTCAGAAAGAAACCCTTGATGGGGATGGTGACGCCTCCTTCAGACCAGACTTCTCTGCGATCAACCAACAGTTGCCCTTATACACGATTACCTCCTTGGAGGACTGTTCGATAGCGAGGCTATAGTAAAGAATCACGCTGTAGTTCTGCCGACACGTGGCTGGCACGTGAGCAGAGAACACACAGGTCACATGCCAAGGCATGAGTAATAATACAGTGTAAGGGAAGATAGTCGTTCACAGATGGACGGAGTCACAGCTCCCTGAGCTCCCTCACGGTGCCTGGGTGATACCTGTGGGGTACTAAGAGGAAAAACAATGTATCTTTTCCCTTAACAGATCCTGTGTATAGGGTTCCTAAGTTTATGCTATCACGCAGCTCTGCTCAGTCAGGATTGAGAGATTTCGTTGTTGTTCATTTTGTACCTGATACCTCGGCGTGTGAGGATACCGGGCATCAAGTAATCCTCTGGTAAGGGAAATGAACAGAATGGGAATTAAACAATGAAAAAAAAAAGGCTATTGAGCACAACACGTCTGTGAGTCCACATTGAACCTTGTACTCTTCCAAGGCCATCAAGAGCCCGGCCTCGGCCTTGGTCTCCGCTGAATGGCTGGCTGATAATGGGACAGATCTCTTCACAGAACATTGATTCGACTTCCATTCCAAGCAGCCCGTTTGCAGACCGTGTGATCGTCTGTCGTTATATAAGTTTAGAATGGCTGCGAGTGTGCTCTTGCAATCAGTGCCAAGTGCTATTAGCTATGTAAATTGTTCTGTAAAACATACAGGTTCGCCGGTCTTCATCAGAATGGCACATGGTTTCAATCTAGGGAGATGCCTTCGGGGGAAATGCTATTACAAGCCAGAGGGGCTCATGGCTCTGCGCACCGGTCAATTCGGACAGAGCAAAATATACACTTGGCTGTGAAATGAGGGGCAGGATCTGGGATTTTTCCTCTCTTTTTCAGTGGAATTCTGCTCAAGCTATGAGTTTCCTCTCTTGTACACACAAAAACACCTAGATGCACAGCTAACTCAACGTTGCTCCAAGCTGGGACTTCCCTTCAGTGGGCTGATTTCATGTTTACTGTGAATTCAGATTTTAAAAAAAAAAAAAAGAAAGAAAAAAGAAAGCCAAGTTTAAGACTAAGGGAGTGTTTTGTTTTGTTTTGTTTTTTCTCTGTGGCTGTTTTGTCCACTTTTAAAGGCTTTCCTCTTAGAAGCTGTCTCCGAACAGGCAACATCTGGGCCTGATAAGGCTACATCATCATCATCATTATCTCATAAGAAAGGAGTTACAGACACTCCAGATTGACAAAACAGAAAACTAGAAGCTTTCAACACGTCTATTTCCAGGCCTCATCCTCAGAGTCCTGCCTATAAATATCCCCGCAATTGTCCCACAAGGCAACAATGCATTGAGCGGAAGAGGCAGGGAGAAAATTCTTGGCTCGGACAATTCGTGGATCTAGTATAAACAGAAACACCCTGCCTAGATTAGGGTTTCAACAGAATCACTAGTCCAAAAGAAAAAAAAAATTCTACTCCCCGCTCCCCCTCCCCTTGCAAATTCAAAGAATCTGAGCAATTTTGATATTTCAGAAACAAAAACAAGTATACTTACTCTGTTTGAAACCCAAGTAGGGAATTCGTTCTATGGGCGTTTTTCTTTCTTTCATGTATTTATAAAGCGCCACTAAGAAGGCTTGTTCATCGGCCCGGCATTCTTCTCCGATGGACAGCTTCGGCTTTTCTTCATTGGAGGCTTTTTTACAGTTGCTGTGGTTATTCTTTGGCTTGGTCAAGGCTGACCTGGCCTCGCCTTTCACCTGGGAAAGGAAAAACAGTCTATCAAATCAAGCCTAGCCTGGGAAGGCTTGCAAAGACGTATCTAAATGACACTTTCCCCCTGACGGGGAATCAGCAAGATAGGGGGACCAAAACACAGCCTTGTGTAAGAACTATCCTAGACAATGGGGGACGAAGTTCTGTAAAGAGCCACCTGGCAAACATGATGGGCTTTTGTGCCCTATGGTCTTGCCGGCAAGTACCTCCAGTCTAGCACGGGTGTGCTCTGTAAATGAATGGTGGGGCTGAATGTCAATAAAACTTTATTGAGAAACAGGTCTTCAGAGGGCCACAGTGGGCTTGTTTGTGCCGGCGTCCTTTGTATATGTCTATACTTTACAGTACATTCATATCAAACCAGAAAGAGTATTGCTGTCCGGTAGGATGACTGATTGGCTTCTTGATACATTGTTTCTTCCTGAGGCCCCTCCCCCTCCACTGTTAACTTCACTGATGAAACCTTGCTTTCATAATATCCTGATACTGTATTCGATCTTATAAAAAAATGAGAGACACGGGCTGGAGAGATGGCTCAGTGGTTAAGAGCGTTGCCTGTTCTTCCAAAGGTCCTGAGTTCAATTCCCAGCAACCACATGGTGGCTCACAACCATCTGTAATGAGGTCTGATCCCTTCTTTCTGGTCTTCGGGCATGCACACAGAATATTGTATACATAATAAATAAATAAATAAATAAATAAATAAATAAATAAATAAATAAATATTTTAAAAAAATGAGAGACACATGTATTTCTTATCTGGGCACCTGAGAGAGCTCTCCATGCTGGGATATACCAGCAAGGTCATTGTCATGTGTCACCTGAGGCTGCTACCCACACATAACCCGAAGCAGTACACCTAGAAGCTGGCTTTTTAATGAGGACTTGGTTTTTCCTTCAGCTGAGACTATGATAGGAAACTGTCTCTTGCCAGAAATGAAAGAGGAGAGGGCAGCTAAAATCCCAAGCAGAACAAATAGAAAGCCCCTCCCCCCCCAACTAAGACATAAATGGAGGCAGATGCTCCACGGTTCTTCCTTCCACACCACGGGGGGATAGGCTTTGGAGCTTGGCTAACCTAATGCTCCCTCCTTACGGCCATGTTGTACAGCGGCCTTTGATGGTTGTTAAATATAACGCTAAGTTGCTGAGTTATTTTAATTGTAAAAGGGGGAAGTACAAAGGGTCAGACTCGGAGTTCAAATGCACCCATGGGGAATGTGTACATTCCAATATTCTTTACATCTCCCGGCTGACATCGGGCAGGAAGAGGGCAAGCGCCGGGGAACGTCGTGCATAGAAATGTCCCACAGATTCCCGTTTCAGACTGCGCAGCCTCCGTGGGTCTTTCTCAGCACTAAGCACATGAAAAGGGTTCTGTTTATTGACTAAAGGGGAACACATCCTCTCTAAGAGGGCTTCCTTAGCGTTCCCTCTCTCAAAGGAGCGCCCCGCTTTAACTTCAGACTGGTCTCACAATCCTGAAACTTCCTGGGCAACTCACTGGGGCTGCGGAAATAGGATGAAAACATGTTCTCTTTTTTTTTTTTTTCCACGGAGGATTTTTACTGACAATATTCTCAAACTTTTCCACTTTGTGACATGATTGGGAGACAGTCGTCTTGTGGCTCTTGGTGCCATCATCAACTTTCCTTGCCAAGTTTTAGGCTGGTGGGTCTAAATTTATGCACGTCATAATTTATTGGCCTCTGAAATCACAAAACCATCCCAGTTTTTGTCTGTCTGTCTTATTTGTTTACACCGGTGCCCCCGGTGCTGATGGAGCACTGATTGATACATTATCTCGTCCCCTCACTGGGGTCTGATCTTACTGATTAGCTTAGGTTAGGAGGATTGCCAGTAGACCCCAGGGACCTGCACGCTTCTCTCTGCCTCTCCAGCGCTGGGGCTGTAAGCACGTGCAACCGCACCCAGCTTTGCTTTTGCTTGTTTGTTTGTTTGTTTATTTATAATTTGTGTTCTCTGGATTGCAAGGCAAGCATTTTAAGCAACTGAGCTATCTACCTCCCTAATCTTTATGTTCACGACTCTCGTGAAGTAGGTTATTATTGTCATAAAAATGTAGACACCGCGGCCCAGGCAGAATGAGTAACGTGTTTAAGTACATACGATAAACTTAATACAGACATTAAGCTGGTCCTCCAAACAAACTTTCAATTAGAAAGCACGTCTACATTTCCGGGCGTCACAACATCTACAGCTGAGAAACGTGATTTATCAAGTCCCATGCGAAAGAGAACTAGGTGGTTTTCAAGTCACAGGAGTGTTTTTTTTTTTCACTGTGTGCACCCAGCCAATCAGGAGAAAGAACCCTGTACCTAGGCCATGCGGACAGTGAACTACACAACCTTGCTCTGTTCACGCGAGCTGTGTCACTGTCCACAGGAACCGCAAGAGGCAGCTGCTTAGACCCATTTTATAGGCGAGAAAACAAGCTCACCGAGGCTGGAGACCTGGGTGCGCGCAGCTACTGAAATGTAAAACGCTAAGTTCAGAACTCAGTTCAGCCTGCCTCCTGGCCTCAATCAATCTCACACACAGGGGAGCAGAGCTACGAGCTGTGTGTAAAGTGGTCCAACGCTTTAAGTTTGCAGTGATATCAGACCAATTACCTCTGTTATAAGGACGGGAGCACCCTGGGTAGGGGACTCAGAGGTTTGCGGACAGATAGACACTTAACGCGCTCTTGTACGTGTAGAGCGGAAGTATTAGAAAAGGAAGGGAAACCTGCGGTGGAAAGCCAGGGCTGAAAGTGGCTCCAAGTGAGGCCCCGCTGCCACCTGCTGAACTCCATCCTGCATTCCAGGGGTCCCACTAAGGGGATGGAGGAGGCTCCCCAAGTAGGTAACAAGTGAGCCCTGGCCTGCATCTCAGCCTAGCTCAGTGCATCCTTCCTCAGCGCCAGTGAGCGTTTGGTTTCCTGGTTAAGACTCGGTCAAGGTATTGTCTACCTGTTTCCCCTACATTTACTCGAAAACATTCTCAGCAGTTTAACCTACGGGATTACTGTAATTCAGCCGTTAGAATGGAAATAGCACGTAGTCTTTGTGTTGGCCTTGAGAAGGTATGACCTTTAAAGGGGTGGCCGTTAGCGTCCTGGCCTGGGCACCACACACCTGTCGAGCTAAGAACGCTGAGGTTTCTCAGCGCGATTGACAGGTTGCTAATTATAGAAATGCCATTTAATGTTCTCAATGAAGCTGCAGACCTATTTGGGACTAACCACATTCTCCTACAGAATTGGGTTATCGCTGCTCTCTCCCCGTTAGCAGTCAGCAGGCGTAGCCAACTGTGGGGAAGCAGCAAGGGACAGGCTACTCTTAGCTTCTCCGTAAAGCGAGAGTGGGGCTAGGTAATGGCGAGCAAAGTAACGCACACATCCTACTTCCAACATGGAGTGTCAAGGATGCCATAGAATGGATGGACCCACGGCGTAGTTGCATCCTTTGTCTTTCCATGTTCCTTCCATAACGGAAACCACCTGTTAGATGTCTAGTCTTTAGAAAATGCTTAACTTGCGCGCGCGCACACACACACACACACATACACACACACACACACACACACACACACACACACACACACACACACACACGAGCATTAACTTTCCATCACTACAGGTCTTGTCACTAGAGATCTAAGCCAAGAACAGCCCTTTAGTATAGTCGACCAAGCCTTGGCCATGGACCTTAGATAATAAATGGTCTCAGCAAGCAACAGGATCCGAGCTGATCTTAGTCATAATGCCACCCCAGGGCTGGTGCTTTTGCTCCACTTGAGACACATGTCTTCAGAAAGCCACGGAATTCTGTCTCCCAGGGAGAACAGCGTGTTACAATGATGCTGGTCCGTTCACACCTGAGGGAGCAAAACCTTCTGAAGCTGACATCATGACCAGAGACAAACCGGTACGTCCATGCTGGAAGGTTCCGCTGCATGGAGCTGCAGGAAGCTGGCACTTATCCACAGTGAGAAACGGTCTGTCTGAGGCACTTTTGAAAAATACACATGGGTCTGAGAGCCAAGCGGCTCACCATCATGCAAAATATTGGTCCAGGTTCCGGATATAAGCAGATGGTTGTAGACTTCGCATCTCTACTGCAACATTTCATGGCAAAAGACCACTTTAAGACCCCAATGCCTTTTTTTAAAATGGCTCGCATGGTCTCCAGGGTGGTTTGTTACTCTTGCAGGATTTTCCAGACAGGTGCCAACAGAAACGCACACCAGAGTTTAAAATGAATCTCTCCCAGATAGCGGATTTCTCCAGACGCATTTGAAGCGTGCAAGGCAAGACTGTAATCCAAGACTCCAAGAGGAGCTGAGATATTCCACCAGTCCCCAGGAACTGACCACAGCACAGGAACAGTGGAAGGATGGTCTGTCCCATGGTGACCATGGTCAGGGGCCGCACTCATGGGAGGAGGGTGAAGGAAAACCCAGGCTTGGCTCATAAAGAGAGTAAATCGGTAAACATTTAACCAGTTCATACGTTCAAGTAGCCAGTCTTCTGTTTTGTGAGACCTCGTGTGAATTTTGTAATTCCCACACATTAGCCGTCGCTCCACACTTCATCCTGGCGGGCTCAGGTTTAGAACATCCCAGAAGAGACACAGCATGGTCATGGCATTCTCTGTTGAATGTCCGCCATGGTAAGACCTCGCTCCGTCTGTATTACCTTGCAGGACTCTCAGCCTGCATTTCAGGGAAAGAATCCATTACGCTGCCACCTTTCAAGGCCAGAGACACCAAGGCCCTAGGCAGGCAGTTCGGGGGCTGAGATGCTCAAATCACCAGAGAATGTCCGTGGCATCCACGTGCGTTCACGTGCAGAGGTCACGTGTGTAGGGGACAGGCAACTGCAGAGAATGCTAGGCTTGTGTTTAGCCAGAGAAATGAAAAATACACTTCTGTAAATTGGCTTTAAAATAAAAAAACCTCACCCTATGAAAAAAAACCACTCTATGAAATCTTGGGAGCATGACAAAATCCTAACCAAAGAGCCCTCAGAACTTTGTGGTAAGAGGGATACTTGAAGATAAGATTCACGGAATGCAAAGGTTCACAGTTCACTCCGACACACTGGGAAGGGGGCAGAGGGCACAGTCCAAGCCCCAGATGGCAGGCAACACGAAACTCAGCCCGTTCTTTCTCTATGTCAGAATCTCCACCGATGCTCAATGTGCCCCCCACACTCAGCCCTCGGTCGGATCTGGAACCACCTTGCTAATTCCCATCTGATCTTGGATTCTGATGTAGATGGGTTCGAACTGTGGCCTAGAAACAACACGAAACACAAAACACCCAAGGGCCAGAGTGTGGAAACGTGACCCCCAGCTCAGAAAACTCACAAAGGTAAGTCTACAAACATGAAGTGACTCTTCACTCAAGACTTCAGGTGCTTCAAAGATTCCAGAGAATGCTCACGAGAAATGGGCCCACAGGCCTCTCTGAAACAGAGGCTTTCCTTCTACATTCAGAGGGAGCTTTAAGACACAGTCACCTCTACGAGTGTGCGCACACATATAAACAGCTTCCCATGTATCTCTAATTTACGTCAATATGAATTAGAGGTGACTCTGGGGAAAAAAAAAACATGACCAAAAAGATTAATTCTAGCCACTTCTAATTTCATCTCCAGTTAATCTCTGAGGCATATTTAGATGTACACACTCAGAGACAGGATGGTTCAGCTGGTCTATTTTTGATACGCGCAGAGTAAACTATGTCATTGTGTCATCTAGCATGAAATCTCAGCTCCGGTGACGCGGACACTTAATCATGTCCTTTACCCAACAAGCCAAACTGGGAGGTGGGAAGTCATTCTGTTGACTAATCAAAACGCCTGCCTCCTACCAGATTCTCCCCACCCCGAGCCACAGGGGAAGTGTCCTCCGGTCCAGACATGGCCTCAAGCTCCAGAAGCGGAACACAGCCACGGAGACACCAGCTATCGGGGAGGTCAAAGGGGAAAATCACGGAGAAGCATCAATCAGGAGGATCGTACCTTGCTGATGGCTTTACCATCACAGTTATTGTTGGAGTCCTTCGAGCCACTGAAGGAGTCTCTTCTCTGGGGACATGTTTTCTTTTTGCGCGGTCTGCCTTTAAGATTTGGCGCTGAAAACAAACGGAGAATAATTAATCGTCATACAGTCTCAGTAAAAGACACAGAGGGTTACTATTGAGCTCGGACAGCATGGACTCGCTCTCATTGGACGCTGCTGTCTCCGAAGGGTGGGACCTTGGTAGAGGCTAAGCTATAAACTTTCCCACGTCTAATTAATATAAATAAAATGAGGCTGACGAGGAAGACACATGCCCCCTCCTACCAGTCCCCACTTCTGTGCTCCACTCCCCCGCACCCCACCCCCAGAATACACCATCAGAAGAGAAGTAACCCCTAGTTAGACTTGGAGAGCGGGCCTTCTGTTTGTTTGGTATCTTGTTCTTTGAAACTCAAAATGATACGCCAGCCTGTGATGGCGTCATACTCAAGGAACATTTGAAAACATTACTCTGTCGGAAGAGTTTTAGAGACAGCAGCGGTTTTTTTTTTTAAATTACCATACTGATGAGAGAGAGAGAGAGAGAGAGAGAGAGAGAGAGAGAGAGAGAGAGAGAGAGCGCGAGCGAGCTCTGGCGAGAGGTGCTCACAGTAACAAGCTGCTATTACACACATTTTCTGATAATACTGTGGCCAGCATGTCTCAAATCTCAGCAAATCTGGCAAAGACTTGAGTCAGCAAGTCTCTTTTCCTCCTCAATATACTTTTATGAAGATCTGGAGGGTTATTTAAAATAAATCCCAAAGCTTACACAGGGTTAGCCTGACTCCAGTGGGGATTGATTTTTTTTTTTTTTTGCGCGCATTATTAAAGCCGTAGTTACAAATGACACAGGTGATGATGAACTTGGGTTGTTTGTGGGGTGCCCTGACTGCCCCCCACCAGCTCTCACATTCAGCTCCATCAGTCAGTCAAGTCCCGAAAATCTAAAACCAACCAACTCACTGAGTTGTCCATTAACCAACTCCACCCCCAATCTCTCCGGAGCTCTCAAATCACCTACATTTTTATTACTTTGAACAGTTATGAAAAAATCATATCTGAGCAGCAGGAAGCCTCTTAATTGTTATTCGTCTCACATGGACACACGGACACACACATATATACATACACACGTTTAGCTAGTGACTTCAGAACATTTCATGTTGGACTCAATTTACATCCATGCTATTTCCTACTAATTTGTTTTTTTTCTGCCATGGAGGAGTTTTACTGCCAGTGAAACTCAGTTAAGGCAACACTCTCTTTAATAAGAGTGGTGCGAGTGGGCTAAGAAGCAGTTTCTGGAGGCTCAGGACCCTCTCCCCCAACCTGCAGACCTCATCACATCCTCCTTCCTCAAAATGCTGGCCCCCGAGTCCGTCCCAGAAAACCTGCCTGGAATTCTCCAATATAAAGTCACACAAGCAAAATCAAGCAAAGAGAAAATAGACATTACCCATTCCAGTCGCCACACATCTGCCTGATTGACGCCTGTGCTTAGGAAAGTTCCGGCAGGGGACTGCTCCCCAGCCTCATCCCTGGAAGTCCGGACTTGATGTGGATCTCGGCTTCCTAGCTGCGAGCGAGCTCAGCGCCGCTCCCCTCCCCCCCCCCCGGCAGCTCCATTACTCATGTAAACACACAGCAGTGACTAGCGCGGGTGTGTGGGATGGGCTCTGAGCTCTGAGCACTTAGGGGGAGCTGCCAGACTGGCAGGGAAGGCTCTGCTCTCTCCTCCTCCCTGGCTCGGCTTGCTGACTGCACCCAGCTTGTTTGGTGGCGCTCCTGACCTCTGGCTCCTCGGTGGGAGCTCAGAGCCCAGTTCCGAGAACTCGCCACGGTCCACAGCCTGGAGCCAGGGTGTGGACTGTTTTGTTTAGAGGACTTTGTGTAGCTCGGAAGCTTTTTCACAATGACCCAAGTGCTGAGGCTTTAATGACTGTTAGGGGTAGGACGGACTTGCAAGTCGCCTAATCAAAATAACAGCCCGGCAGTGAGCCGACAGAAGCAAACAGGACTCGAGAGAGGAGTTCTGAGAGGTGCCATTCAGCAGTCAGCAGAAACGGAACAATATGGCCTCTGTTCCCAGACCTGTCACTGTCATCTTTCCACTCCTCGCATTTTTGAAAAGCACTTAAAACCTAAAAGGCATTTATTTCCAGAAAAGCTTTCAAAGCCCGAAGGCCCTGTCTAAAGATGGAGCTCGCGCTGAGCAGGGTTTTAAATAGCAAAGCAAAGGTTCCAAGAGCCTTAGGAACCATCCCTAAACTGGGTCGATGTTAGGCACCCAGAAGATTTAGAGAACTACAAATTCAGTTTTGAGCAGAGGAACAGGTTAGGGTTAGTTGTGATTACACAACTCTGAATCTGGGGTCTTTGCTTCTTTAATTGGCCGAGTGCTGGAATGTCCTAGGGCCAAGTGGGCCAACCAAGCATTGCTGACCACACAACTACAAATCCTTCTTTGTCTTTGTCCAGAAGTACTTGAGCTATATGTTTATTTTATTTTTATTCTTTTCTGTCTTTTTTTTTTTTTGATGGGGGTATTATTATACCTGACTGGGCTGTCTTTAAGGGTAGGGCCATCGGATTCACCTCTCCTCTGCATAACATTAGCGAGGTAGCATTGTGTAACCTGACTTTGTTGGATGAACAGATGACTAATAGCCCACAAATGCCCACACACTCCTGAGAGGAACCTGCCAATCGGATCCCATGATACACGTGTCACCCTGGGAACCTTTACACTTTACATCTGATGCTGGTGGCTTGAGGTGACACCGGAAGAACCAGGACGGAGCCCAAGGTTTTGGGCTCCTGACGACCGGTCAAACCATTGCCTTCACCGTAGCCTTACCCCACAGTGTCGGTCACAAACCGTCAATGAGCCAGGGGCGGTGGAGCATGAAGAACTGGCCCTCAGTCCCCCCATAATGCATCAGAAGACCTTTTGGACTCTTAATACAACCAAACCCCACCCCCCATAGAGCTTTGTCCGGGGCTTTATCTGTTTCCCTCTGTGGCAGAGAGAGAAGCTGTTCTCCAGACCAGTGATACAAAGTGAATGTCCCGTGGCGTAGTAGTGGTCAGGGGTGAAGTGGAACTTTGTGTTTCATTCCCTCACACGAGGAAACATCCCCATACCATCTAGCCATCCTAGCTACTATGCTTTCTCCCTTCTGGGAGGTCAGTACTAAAACCAGGATCCTGAGTCTCCACCTGGTGTGGGCCTCGGCTTTAAGGATGAGTGAAATTTTCGCCCTCACCAGCTCCACATAAAGCAAGTGACTCTGTAAAGCCGTCCACATTCCAGCTGCCTTCACTTGTACACATAGCTGGGAACCCAGCCTAGTCCCGGATCCTCAAAGGTCAGTAAGTGGTTTTGTTGCTGTTTGTTTATTTTAAGGTTTTATTTTGATGCTGGAGCAAAGTCTCAACATCCTCAGCACCCACATCCGTCCTGTAACTTCAGCTCCGGGAGATCTAATGCCCTCTTCTGGCCTCTGAGGGACTTGCGCTCCCTCATGCACTTATTACACACAGGAGATCTCTGGTAGACCAGCAGGACCCCTAAACCGCTGAATCATCTCTCCAGCACCTCCGTAATTGTGCTTTGCACGAATGCCTTCAATAGAACCTTTCTTCCTTGATACTTCCTGAGGGCCAGCCATGGCTCTGCCTTCCAATAGTAACTAAAACTCACAGTCCACCCAGGAGGTCAGCACGGTTACTATTCTCCCCATTCTAGAGATAGTTAAACGGAGATAGAAGAAGTCCACAACCTCAGACCATACACCTGATTATCAGCAATGGGTTTGCCACCTGGGCAATTGCCATTTTCCCAGGACCCTTGTTCTTCCCGAAGTTCTTTCTGTGGGGCACCTGCAAGCTCACACGTTCATCCTACCTCTGAGTACACAGATTAACCCTGACAACAAGCTTTCACCAACCAAAAACACTTTCAAACACCGCCTACTTCTGCAAGCCTAGGGTGCATCCAGCCTCTCCTGGACCCCCAGCAAGCAGAAGCCCCTGCAGTTCTGACTAAGAAGTGGGTGACAAGACTCCCAATCAAGCCATTAAGGCCAGTAAAACTTTGGTCAAAGCGCCATACCCATGACCCTTTTACAGTGGGGGCTTCTGGCTGACGAGTGAAAGGCTTCCGTGGTTGAAACGAAAAGAAACTCCTTTCCTCTCCAATTGTCCCTCTGTCCATCTTCCTGAGGGCCAATTGACGCATGCTCAGTTTGAGCAGGGGCAGCCACTTCTACAGACTGCTATCTAATCCCTGCTTAGGACAGTGTTTTCTTCTGTTAACCTTTTCTTATCAGTGAAAGACAGTCTGTCTTCCTGACAACAGAGGACAACTTTTTGCTGTTACTCTTTTCTGCTCTTAAAGGGTCTGTTTATTCAAAAAAAAAAATTAAATAAATAAATAAAAGTAGGTGTTTGCAGGTCTTCACTTCCACTATGAGTTCAGACAAGCCACATAGTCAGGTCTCTCAGGAGTGGGAGACTCATCTCAGCCCGGATTCTTAAAATAATACTAATAAAACAAAGGATATGTAACCACTTACTGGCAAGCTGGCAAGGCCAATGCTCTTGGCTTAGATGTTGCTTCTTTTCCCCCTCCCCCACTTTCTGCTGTGTTCTTCCTGCTGTTATGGCCAGATCATGGCTGTCGATTTTTTTATTTTTATTTTTTTATTAAATACCGTTTATGCTCTTGGAGTCCCACAAAGACAAACAGCCCTAAAAACTGGATTGATTCATAACCAAGCCAATAACTTTTTCTTCCCATTTTGCAGAAGGGCTTTCTCCGCCCCCGCAAGGCAGCCACAGATCCCTTAGAGAAGCTCTCTGTGAGATACACAGTGTCTTCCTCTCCGGGAGGACCTAGAAGCAGGAATGGAAACGACAAACATCATTTTCCATAGAGCAGACCCCCAGGGGTCAGAGTCTACAGGAGGTGAGCAGAACGTTATCTCCTCACATTTTTCAAGTTGCGAATGTGTATTTTAAATATGAGCTAGAAAGCAAAACCCGCTGGGGGATGTCTTACGCACTGGC